TTCCGGTTTGAAAACTTCTGAGTCAATTTGTTAGACTAACAACTTTAGGAATAAGGAAATTTACTTGATTTAAATTCAGTATAAATGAAGAAGACAAGCATGAAGTGAACTGACATAGATGTCGCCAGACATACAGATTATGCTGCCATGATTTTTCAATAAAAGCTAGGTATTTCAAGTCACTAGCTTCGACAATAGCAGATGATAATGAAATTAAATACAGTTTGATGGATATCAGTGTAAATACAAAGAAGGATATGGGTTGACAGGGGTTAAAACGAATGAAAAATAAATGAAGCTAGATCACGAATTAGTGGGCGGAAGAAGAGTTAGTGGATATGAGTAGTCTTTGAGAGGTGTTAAATTTCTAGGTTTAGTGCAACAGGATATTTAGACTGCTAACTGTTATACAGTCCCTAAATAGAACAGAACAGCTGTCTGGTACTATGAATCTAATATTCTGTGTTGCCTTTTTCATTTATAGTCATTAGTTGTTTTACTAAGACTGTAAGAATCTTCAACACGTATCTAAATGAAAGACATACGGATATCCCCATCTACTGACTTTCTCAACTTGACTACTGACCACTACATGTATCTGATAAAAGTTACACATATCCGATAATTACATAGATTTTTAGGTAGTGTAGAGAAAATTAAATGATTGACTTAATATAATGCATACTTAAGTGAACAGTTATTTTCAATGCAAGAAAAAGGTATTTCCATTAGTTATCTTTCGCTGCAGTAAACATATGAGACGTAATGATTGACGTAGAGTTATTTACTTAGCAGAAAAATGATTTGAATGCCATGTATAGACTTCAGTTATTAGTAAAGCTAACCAACTATACGTTCATTTATTCACCTGCCTCACTTACAGGAAAAGTGTATCCCAGATTGAAGAGTAGTTATCTGCTGGTAATACACGATACTGAAGTTCATTAATAACAGCATTTTACATGGTTCGCTTACAAATCAGTCAATTAAACCTTTTGCCTAATATTTCTCGCTCAGCATTGGAATGATGACAAAATAAGTTTACGTAGTGAATAGTGTAGTGGAGTGGGAGTGGTTGGGCATTACTTGTTCACATGGCGTCCTGGCATAAAACTCTAAGATTTAGATTTTTAAAAACCTTGTTTTCCAAAGATTTTTATGTTAAAAGGGGTCACTCATCTTTATAACAGCACAAGAGTTTTTGTTTTCGATTCGACTACAACTCATTTTATCCTGTGTTGTCAACCACCAAATTTCGTTTCAGTGATAATAATGGTAATAATAGGGTTTACCGAAACAGTTGTTTTCGATTAATTTCCATTGTTTAAATTTCTTCAATCCAGGGACGCTATGGTTTATTTTTATCCAAATAATTTGACTCAAGGAATGTTAGAAACCATATTTTAACCAGATAATGACCAATAACATATCCTAGAGATTAGCCTTTATTGATGCCTTCAATTATCATATTTTTCGTTACCAAATGCTACAGATGAGTGCGAAACCATAGTGTGCTAAGACTTATCTTTGTAAGATTGTTATTTATATTATTCACAGTTGTTGTCTTTCTTGGTTACCCCTAAAGGTAGTCAAAAAACTATCATGATATATAATGAATATGAAAATACTGTAGCGCTGGAATCATATGGCTAACCAATGTTTTTCGAAAATACAAAGAAGAGATTCAGTAAAACAGTGGAGCCAGATTATGCCTCATTTTAGCACACTTTGTTCGCTTTATCATCGTTTCAAAAATCCACAAGCTGAAATACTTAAAGATGTTTGGTTTTCCAAAAGCAAAAATACTTTTTATATATACATATATGATGGAGTTATGAGAGTCTCTGACTACAGTCAGTAATCGGTTTTCTGAAAGATATACCGTCTGTTGTATGGGTCTGCCGAGAAAATGTAGTCATGGTGATATCTTGGATCTATCTGTCAATAAGGATATGACAAATTTCGAAAACTATCATATCTTTAAAATGTTTTTTTTTTAAGTATGGAAACTAAATTCCAAATGAATTTTGGAAGTAACATCTAGAAAAACAAACTGATCTCATTTATTTTCGATGTATTCGCTGTATTTTCTAAATAACTGGATTATTCAGTGTGAAGTACTTAGCAAACAAAACTTTTTTGTAAACTTTTATACCTAAAAAATGTGAACTGCCCGTTAACTGGATGTGTAGCGTAATGAAGAAGTAACGTTTTGGAAGTAAGTCATATGTTTTTGTCAAGCAAGACTAACAAATACCGTGGGATTAGTTGGAAAGACTGGGATCATGAAAAATTGGCAGAAAAGGACTTCAGCGAAAAAAATTTTCTTTTTAACTAATCATTTTCAAAGACTTTACAATAGTGCTTATAGTTAGAACAAAATGTCTGTCAATAGCTGATGGGTCAATACAAAGCCATCAAGAATTATCGATAGAGTCGGAAGGTGATTATAGCTAGAAGATAAACACAAGGTCATCGAAGAGAACACTGTTTATGAATATTGGACTTAGAGAAGACAGAGTAGCAGAGATACTCAGGAATCAGTCATGAAAAGCACCGAAGAAGACTTCACTTACCGACCAACTTCAGATCGCTTACTCCAGTCAACGATTGATTCGGTGTGTGAAAGAATAAATACCGCAAAGGGCCACCTTTATGTATGTCTACCGATTCACATGCTCTTGTAAAGTTGGTTGCACTAGCTGCAAAAGGCGTTTTTCTAATCTAGACACATCTGCGGACATTATTCTGCATGTTTGTTTATAGGAAATTGCATATCCATTGACTTCTCAAGTCCTGAGCATCTGGTTAACTTCGGTCACTGTGCTGTACCAGAATCTTCCTTCAAAATTACTTCCAAGATCAGGTAAAAAATCTCGATGGGAGTGTAGATTCGCCATATGAACACAGCAGAAGTCATAGCAATTCATCAGTTCAAACCTGATCTCTGAGTTCTAACGAGGTAAATTCTACCTCTAATTTTACCTTGGTAATAGTCTCCTAAGACATTTAATTTTCCCATTTATTACTTGTTTACTGATTGTTATCCTATCAGCAGTTTTTGGTCACTTCGTACTGACCCGTTAGTTATTGATGAAAATATATTTTGTTGTAAATTTAACAACGACTGTGCACGTTTTGAGAGTGATTCGTCGGGAAGAAAGTTCTATTTTGCTGAATTGCGCTTTATTAGTTAATAACAGTGAAGTTTTGAAAGCAAAATAAGAGAAATGGCAAGCGAAATAATCCAAAAAAATCAGTCCTTTATAACTGGATTGCTGAATCCTTCATCATGCCCGTATTCTAAAACTACAATGTTTATACTCTTCGGTTCAATCTTCGCGAAATGTTTCAGTAGGGGATCCTGCAAGTTATCTCATGACCAACATTGACCAGATGCTCATTTATCGAACTATTCATTAACTAGTACTGTTCTTTTAAAAGCTAAGACATGAATTACCAAAGCCGTAAATGCATAAACGAACTCACTGACTCATACTAAAATGGTACAATACAGATTTTCACCCTTAACAACCAGAATCAACAGTAGACTACGAAAAATAGGATAGAGTTTGGTTGGAATGAATTATCTCCTTAAATGTCTAACAACTGGCTGTTCAAAATGGCTTGAGGAAGAATTTTGTATCCCATTCTTCGGCTTTACACTGGTAGCACAATACCACACCGTTGTACAAAAATAAGCTGTTATATACTTGTGCTAAACCTGAATATGATTGTATAGTTTATTGCAATAACTCCGTCAAGATGAATCATGATCTCTATATGCTTTCTTTCAATCTTTTATGGACAACAAAATTTTTCGAGGATCCTAACAAAGTTATTTTCAGAGAAAGAGCAGAATTATGATGTTGATATAACCACTCACAGTTTACCTATCAGATGCTTCTATAAATCTATTGCCGTAAAGGCTTCTGTTTTGTGCGAGAGTTTCCTAGGTGGTATGCACTTTAATGCCAAAGAAATAGTACAAGTAACAAAGCTAAATTTTACGCAGAAACTGGAATCAACACCCCTAACCCACAAAATTAGGGCGTCAGTAGTTAAAACACCAACGAAACGTTTTGACACTCTCGATTCTAAACTACCGAAACTGCAAATAAATTACCGTCAGGAATGTTATTAGTTACCTCTGTTTTTGAATGGCTGGAAGAGGATAGTTTTCTGTAGTTTATTTTCGGAAATATAACTCTGAGCGTCTCTGTAAGTGGATTTACATGAGTCGAATCCTTTTGGAAACTTACCGCTAGCATATCTAACCATTATAACTGTTTTGCCTGTTCTTCGGGCTTGATGACAGAACATTATGCCTGCTGAGCAACAAAAAACAGTTATTTTTAGTGTGTGATGTTGGAAGTCAGTCGGTAGAAAGCTCTGCCTTAACTAGATTTTGTGCTTGTCAGCGCTCGTTAATGAGGTGGATCTACAACCATCCGAAAAATGAAGTTCTTTCAGTTATCCAAACCGGCGTTACTCATCAATGAAATCTGAGAATTCGCCACCAAGCTACTCAGCCCACGACTGACCTCCTGTAGACTGAATAATGAACACAAATCAGCCGCCAGTAGGTAACCCGTCTAGTTGTCTAGTCGTTCAGGCTTAGGGCTTATGGAAGTCTTTCCATCAATTTTTGCAGTATGATCGCTAAGCTAAGTGACTTTCTGCTACAGTGCGCTGTATTTAAATTGGTCATCAACTGGTAAACAATTCGTGTTCAGTTGTCGCTGTCATTCATAAATACAAATATTCTTGACTAACTGTGACTCCTACCGATAGTTTTGATCTCAGATATAACACCTTAAGAAGACATTTTTGCTTGTTTTTAAGAGTGAGTTGATTCACAACTAAGGATTAGTCAAAGTGTTCTCGTTTCTTTTTGTGAATAAATTCAAGAATACTTCCTGTTTTTCAGTGTCTTGTTAAAAGGGAAAGGATTATTATGTGTAAGTATGAAATGACACGTAAAAGCAAAATGAACTCACCAGATTCACATGGATCAGACTTGGGTTCATTGAGACTCAATTCTTCTAAAGGCTTTACTACGTCTACTTGAGTAAAAAGGTCGCATCTCGCTCCACGATATCGGGAAATGCAACTACAAATAAGTACATAGGTGAAAATTACATGCTTTATTGACAACATTCTGACCGAAAATGTGAATGCAAACACGGGAGATTCTAGCTGGTTAGTTTATATCAAATCAAAATGTGAACGGTATACTCTTAGATGTTTCTACCAGGTTATTTTGTATTGATCAGCTACATATTTTCGAGAAACAGCATATATTTACTCACTTATAGGTGCTTTTTAGTAAATATCTTTTCCTGAGTGATCGAAAAGTTTTGTCCAGAGCTACACTTATTCATTGAATAACAGTTACGTCACTTTCGCATGTTTCACTGTTAATTAAAGCGGCGAACTAGAAATGAGAGGAATATAATCATAGAACTTAGACTGTTGGATAAATTTTACTGAGTAAGAAATGGGACAGTTCTAATTTGAACCAGGCACTCTGATTTAGAGGATTAAACTGCACAGGTTTGCAACAGAAAGCGGAAAAAAGCGATTACGTTTTAAATTATCTGAAGTTGTTGAACGTAACTGAAAATAATGTGGTCCTTAGGTGTTGATAACTGTAAAGGAGACACTAAAGAAACCGCTTACTTCACTTTCAGTTGTTATAGGTCATTTCAAAACTTGATATTACTACTTGTAATTTCCTGTCATTTTTTGAACTGAACTGATCAGCCGCCATTGGCGTATGGGCTCCTGTGTGAATGTAATAACTTTAAAATTATGCTCGTCGTACAAAGAATGGGTATCGTAGCATAGGCATCGAGTGGATAACGCTCTTGTAATTGAAGCGGAGGGTCTTTTGTAAGAGTCTCAGCAGGGACGAAATCATCTAGTGGGGTCCACGTACATTCGATTGACGACTCCTAAGCGGGATAAAATGCACTCCGTTATTCAGTCCCTGCCTCTGTCCGGTATTTCCAATATTTCATTTTTTGTATCCGTAAATGATTGAATGACATTATTCAGTCAGCAACAAACAACAACAGAAAACAGTTAACCAGGTGGTCAAAAACGTTACTATCCCAGTATTAAAGTAATGAAAGGTTAAACAGGCACTATTTACACGGAGTGTGGACATTTAAAGCAACGCGTAATTTATGGATATCCAAGCGTAATCGAAAAGGTCCCAAGTTCAGGATATAAGATATAGAAGGAACTCAATATGAAAGAAATGATTTATAATGAGCGAAACGAAAACCACTAAAAAACGAAACTACCCCTGAATATTCACCGTCTCACCACCTCTTAATTGAGCCAACAAACACTAAGTAAGTAGTTACTTAAAGCTCTTTGAGAGTTATTTTTAGTGTTCTGTCTTCATATCAGTCGTAGGCGTAATTATTTTCCCTCACAAACTGTGCATGAGTTGGACCAAATACTTTCAGTATCTGCCTCTGTTTTTTGTGTTGTCGCTTTACTAGATGCGTAAGAGTGACTGTAACCAGCCCATTTGTTGGTGACTTTGAGATTTTAATCGTTCACAGTTATTGAATCTTTACCACTGGGATAATTTTTTTGTTGATTTACTTCAGACGAGGTAAAGGTTAAATACAAAACTTTAAAGGCTGCTGAAAACTATGAAACTAAGACAGAGCTGTCGATTGATTTCCATTATGTTTTTCAACCAAAGTGATTTTGATCGAATTCCTTCTGAAAACATTTTTGCAAGCTGACTATGATTATGTTCAACATTTTCTTAGCTTCAGTGTTCAACTTTAGGTTTTCCTTATGGACTTTGGTGACTTCTAAAAGTGAGTCATAATTAAGTCTTAAAGTATTTACCGATGATGGAGAATATTTGAAGCCCAAGGGAATAATTTTGATGGTGTTGTAATCAGAGAGCAGTATGACTTAATCTTGGAGCTTACGTTGTCATTCTAGATATCATTATCAAAAACTTGGTAAGAAGTTAGCTAGATTTTCGCGACAATTTATTTAGTGGCTTGTCCTGATGACCGTATGTGTGGTGGATTGTTTTTTGCCAGTCTTGTCATTGTCTCCACGTTTGTCTTCAATAGTTGTCTTAATGGTCTGAAATTTGACCTTCTTATTGTTTCTTATTGGTTGATAAATTGAGTCAATATCTATATGTCTGTTTATTATCGACTGACCTGAATACCAAGCTTCTTCAAGAGAACAAGTATGTTTTCTCCACGAGTGTTTACGCCGGCTTCTCCTATCAACTTGTGTCAGATACAAATCGCTTATCAACTGTCTAATAATTCTGTAAATTAGTGGAGGACACAGGATACAAATGATGTTCACCGATGCTTGTTATTGGATTCAAAAAGATTAAGAGACGATATTAAGCGGGAAGAGAAGGCTTCAGTGGATACTCACAACCGGGGACTTTACAATTTTGGGAACTGCGATTGAAAAATCATGCAGACAGCTCAAAGAATAGCCAAGATTGCCAAAATTTCGAAACCACGAGCATCAGAAGAAAAAGAAAAAGGAATTGGGTGTTCAACTTATCCAGTTACTCCCTGACCGAATTCGAGGAACTTCTCTCTTAAAAAGGATTAAATTACGATACGACAGATGCTTCAGGATCAGAATTCTTCGCATCCCCAACGTCATCGCTGGAGAATTCACGACTAAACTCTGTGGTCCAACAGAAAACACGACAAGTAATCTTAAATCTGACCAGGCGGAAGCAAAACTACAGTCAACTAGTCAGTGAAGGACAGAGAGGAATCTGAAGAACGTCGTTATAATTCTAGCCGACAAAGGAGTCACTACAGTAGTCATAAATGAAGATGACTACATCAAAAAGGCAGAAGAGTTACTCATGGACAAAATGTATATTAACCGATGGGAACAAATTCCAATCAAAATTTTGAAAATTAAATTACGAAGACCTCAAACAAACTCATCAGTTACAAAACAAGAGCAATGGAGAATGAAATCCATTGGACCTGTTCTCCTACGTTTCTATGACAGACCGAAAATACACAAACCAAACATACCAATACAACTAGTTTTTTCACTTGCAGGAAATTATAATCTTTCAAAATAACTATTCAGAAAACTAAAACATCCGGTAGAATCCTACTATACTCTATCAGATCTTCGACACAGTTTTGGAAACAGATCAAGCATATTCACATTAAAAACGACCAACTGATGGTGCCTTCCAATGTTACAGCTCTAAACACTTCAATTAAACTGAACCTGCTCAAGGATACAGCATCTCTTCTCCTCACACCTGTTAGAACAGACACAACTGCAATGTTGAAGCTTGATAAAATTAATTAATTTATGCCTTACAAAAAATTTTCAATTCAGCTACAAACTCTACAAAGAGATAAAGTGAACACCAATGGTTTCGCCTAAATCAGGATTAAGTTCAGCAGTAGTAATGCAAACATCAGAAAGTGTGATGTTGTCGTTGATGTAATCAAAGTTTTGGGCAAATAGGTAGGTGACATTTTTGTTATCATTAAAAGAAGCGATCTAAAAACGCTTACAAATCAATCAACAATATTTTCGATGATATGAAGCTTATATTTGAAGAAGAATCAAATAACGAATTTTAATTTCTAGATCTGATCGCTGAGACGGATTTCAGAAAATTGGAAACTGAAGTATGCAGAAAGCCAACTCATGCGGACCAATTCCTCAACTGCAGTAGCAACAGCGCAACGGCACAGAAAATCAGTTGTGTAGAAACACTGTTCAAAAAAGCGAAGTCACATCCTTGTACATCAATCCTTCAGAAGAACAGCTATCCACACAACTTCATCAAAAATGTTTACACAACTCGTCATCAACCAAGAAGTCATCCTCGGTAACCAAAAAATGGATTATCCTACCTTACATAAAAGTCTCGAGATCACGAATAGATTGTTGAATCGCCATCACGACAAGCCGCTAAATAAATTGTGGAGAAAATTTTCTAGCTCACTTCTTACTAAAGTTTGTGCTAATGATGTTGTCTAGAATGACAACGTAAGCTCCAAGATTAAGTCATATTGCTTATAGAACACAACATCAAAAAGTTTTGGAGTATTTTCGATGGAATTTTATGAGATCAAATATCAGTGTTTCAAAACCTCAAAAAAATAAGCATTGTAATTTTGAGCTATTTAAAATGTGAAATAATTATCTCTCTTGATAAATTTAAATAGCATGATGACAAGACTGGGATAATCTGACATAATCACCGTCTTATCGCGTTGTCTATATTTAAAATTTGTTACCAGAGCTTATCTGTGTTTTGAATCATGTTAACCAAGAAACTATTTCGAAAAAAATCATCTGCGGTTTAACTTGGCATGTTTCAACCTTTTGACCAACATACTTAAATAAGATTAAAAAAATGCAGATAAATGTAAACTCCTGTTATGCAGATAAGTTTACAAAGTGCAAAATAGCTCCAAATATTTTATGAATTTTTGGTTGCAATAACTTGAATTGAACATGGAATTCCTTTTGTCTATTTACTTCTAGTATTTTCATATTCGTATGCTATATACCCAAGATCTTTTTTCATGAAGCGACCACCTGATTTAAAAGCTTTGATCAGTTCATCTACTTTAAACATGAATTTCTTTTGGTGAATTGAACAGTCTACATATTGTCTGAAGTTAATAAACTCTCTCAGATTTGAAAAAAAGATGTTGTCTGAGGGTCTAAAATCTCATAACTTGTAAAGAATTTTTCACTGAGAAGAGACAGTAAAAGAAACTATATCCATTTTGTCGTTTAGCTTACTAAGTGACAAACAAACATGTATCGATTATCTTATCCTGTGAACAGGCCAGTAGGCATAAGATGTTTTTGAAACCATATCCGTACATTGCAATTCGCAGATATCTCTCTCCTGATTGATGGTAGACGCTTATTTTTCTAGCATCAGCTTTCAATTAAATTGTTTTCCATGCAACCTACTGAAAACGAAATTTATTAATAGTTAAATCGCATGCAGTGTGACTGCCATCAATAACTTGAAGTTTTCGAAAAAAAGCGTAAGTAGCAGGAAATTAAAAGCACCAGAGTGAAGCAACAATAACTGTAATAACAATAATAATCGTAATCATAACGGCAGGTATCATAATGAACAATCAGTTGGTAATATTGTTCTAAATAAGTAAATTACTGCCAGTAGTGTTTTTACCTTGCTATCTTCTTACAAATCTTTCGTTAGTTTTCTTGTTGTAGGCTAATAAAAAAACCTATTCATTCCTTTATTTATTCAGCTATTTCGCCAGTGTGAATTAGACAGTGTAGTAAATCAGCTAGATGCCTTGAGTTATACGCATGCACATAAGCATGATGGCGTCCAGATTTTAAAATACAAATGAAATGAGATATTTTTTAATGCTGTACCTCTTAAGATACATTAGTTTAGTATGTTTTTCCCTCTTCTGCATGCTGAAGATTTATAGTTTTATAAGTACTGGTTTTCGGATAGTATTAAATGGTGATCGATGTCTTTTGTTCAAGGAATGTAGTGTGGTTATTAAGTTAAATTACAGAGAACTAAATTGGACCGTACCTTATTTTCGGCGTCATTGGAGTAATCAGCAAGACATTATTTCTTCATGAATTCATCTGTATAATTTATAGCAGGAATATACGTGTACTTTGAAAAGTTTTAAAGAATGCAACTTGATGGCTGATTCTGATATTTTTATGTCGCTTTATGCACTTATCATTAAAGCAACACAATTAACAGAAGAAAAATAGTTGGCTAACAGACAAAAGCATGAAAGGAGCTGCTTACCACTTGACGTAACTAATTCTTTAAAACATTACAGTCTTTAAATAAACGCCGTTAACTGAACAGTTGATATTCAAACTTAGGCCGATAGCTGAGCATATTTAATTGACCACTAGGAACCTTCACGAATAATGTGCTGTTACTCAAAATGTTAGCGTCACCACAGCATAACATTTCATGTAAGATCATGAAGGTGGTTAAATTATATTTTGCATGGCATTTCAAGCCATTAACTTACAGTTATCAGTTCCGAGGGATAGAACAGATTCCGAAAATCAGGAATCCTTATATTACATGGACACCACTTGTGGTGGGGTCTTAGGCTGGACATTTATTGAACATCTATAGACATTTAGCACTCTAAAGAGATATTTCCTTACTACTGATTTCAGGTTTCACTAACAACATCAGCTTTATGAAGCCTTCCAAGAACTTTAAGTTACATGAATCACGTTGCATTTAGTTTTTATTGCGATCTTATATTTCATTCTCAGAATTATTTCCTACGAGGTTATCGGTAGTCAAAGGCAGTAAGAAGTAGCAAGCCAGGTTTTAAGTGGTGCCCTATGTCAAGCAAAATACATTGCTGCCGGAAACGCTAAGCTATCAAAAGTCACACTATGCTACAAGTTTCATTTTCATGTATTACTCATGAACTACTGGTACAAATATTTAACGCGAATACCGCACATAAATGAATACAATACATGAAAGTAATAGTCATCAATAGTGGTGATGTGATGTGAAGTGAGTAATTGCTTTTCAATAGGTAGAACATAACTGAGGTACGTAATTACAAGTAGCTTTACCGATAAGCAAATGTTTAAAAATGTCCTACTGAAATCATGTTTCAGATCAAAGAATTAGCTCGTAGAAAATCAGATTTTCATTTTGCCAAATGCTTATTTTAAAAAAAGCCTTCAACAAAGCTATCTTGCATCACCATGCTATAGTACTTTTCTTATGTTAGGTTTCAGCTTGACAAGAAACCCAATATTGCAAAAGTGAGATAAGCTGGTTGGAGGCAATCGTCTAGAAGCCCTGAACCTCTCTGAAAAGTGCCAGCAGGCACGAAACTTAGATCCAAGGCTTCCTGATGATCACCTTCAAGCAATTAATACCCATCGATATTGCGCTTCCTGACTTGGTGGCCACATTGAAAAATATCTCATAGAATCCGGTCAGGACTCCGAACTAATTACCATTAAACTGGCAATTCTTCATTGGCCAGTCAGTATGGAAAACAGATCAGACTTAATAAATCTCAGAGTGGCCAGACAAGGGCACATCAGTTCACTATCAAGTCGCTGCTTATTGGTGTGATTTATATTGCGAAGTTAAAACCGTCTCACTGCAGTCCTCAAGGGACTGGAAATGTAGGATTGAATACTCTCAAAATCACTAACAGTGATATAAGTATACACTGTCACCTCAAAAGTGAAAAAATTACCAATAGCCGCTTATTTTGTTTCCCTTCACATTCATTTTTCGCTTACCTTAAAGTCATTCAATTTCTGTATTGCCATGAAGTGTGGTGAAATGAACTTTACGATTTCTGTGGAAAGTTCTACATCCATTAGTTTGTTTCTACTACGTATCACTGCATAAGTTGATGTTATTTTCCTACGTTTTGCATACATACTGTTTAAGACATTTGTTCTGTTGGGGATAACGTGTATCTTTGAAACACTTAGATACTTTTCATGAGAAGGTTGCTAGAACTTTCCTACTGCTTTTGCGGTTGTACGCTGTAGCGGTATGCATACAATAAATAATTAGATATTTATCACGTCATCAACGTATCAGGAGTTTGAATCAGTTGAGAAGCGTCATTTTTATTGACTTCCTAATTAAACTTCCTCAGTGTTAAGTTTTAAACACTTCCAATAGGTGATGTAATTTTACTTATAATGAATTCAGTTTCCGACCGCCAAATGATGGTACACTGGTATGGATCTTAGAATCAGAAGCACCACAGTTATATGGATAGTGCCATTTTTGATGAGTTCGCGCATGCTAATGTTTCAGAAGAGAACCACCTATAGTTTAGAGAGGTATGTGTAGCTGATTTATATAAATCAAGGTATATAAGTATTTATCATAACTTCCATGATAATGTAAACCAATTTTTATTGCAACAAAGCGTGCTGTAAACCTAAGGGGTTTTCAGCAATCAAATCATCTTTAAGTGTTCGCCATATAAGAACCACTGTTAAAGATCGAATCAGAACCCATATACTTCAGTGACAAGACCTAAATCCGGGCTTTAAAACTGGCTTGCTCCTATTTAGTGACTAAATGTTCGGAACTTCAACCCAGGTTCATAACACACGTATAGGATTTAGAATATCAAAAACTCATAAGGTGACAAATGAATTTACTTGGTACTTGCATTAAAATTTTCACTAATTCATATCTATTTGCAACCTTACACAATCAAAATATTGTTCGGTTGGTAGGTGGAATGCAGTAAGAAGATCACTACCAAGATAGACTTTCTTATCAGTAATAATGAGGCTTTCAGGAACTGAACAGACATTCACGATTCGACTTTATTTTTGAAACCCAACAAAAATACCCTGGTTGTCGATTAACTTCATATCTTATTTTTCTTCGTAATCCCTTAAATGGAATGCTTCATCCAAAAATTATATCCAAAGAGGAAACTTGTAACAACCAAAATAAAATGAAAGAAGAATGTACGTCAGTTGGAGAATTTCAGTATTATCAGGATTTAACTGTTGTATGTAATGACCTCTTAAATTTCACCTGGGTTTAGGAAGTCAGTTTATCTTTGACTAATAAGAGGACAGAGGAGTTTCACACACTGGCTGATCGAATATAAATATAATAGTGCAAAAAGTAATAAATACACATAAATCAAAATCCACTATATTAGCCAAAGACATGCTTCGATAGCAAGCGATCTGGCAAGCAAGCGCATTTTGCATGCAAACAAGAACTGAGCTTTGAAATGTTTTCTTTGACAGACACTTTGTATACAAACATGTTTCAAAAAAAAGAGAAGACATCATCCTGTTTGCATTTTTGTGTTTTTTTTTCACTTTTGCGAGCATAGCCTTAAAGCATAAAAATATGGCTTCTGGCAACTAAACAGAGTTTTTAAAGAAACAATTTAAAAAGATGACAGTTAAGCAAATTTTGACGAATGCACTACCTCACAGTGTTCACCCAAATATTGTGGATAGCATCTGAAGAAAAATGTTAGTAAATATGAAATAAAGAACTGGAAATATCTGGAATAAACTTTGTAAATTTATTGTAATACTGTAGACTTAAATTACTAAGGTACATTTTTACTTGACTGCTTGGTTCCTTGACTGATATTCTAAGTATTTTATGATAAATATTGAAGGATACTTTCCTGTCACCTAAAAATATCTGTGAATGTGTTGGTTTATTCAGACACTGATGAAAATGGAACAGCTTTTCAAATGAAAAGAATACACTCATGCATGCTTTTGTGGTCAAAAACCAAACGTTTCGCCATGATTAGTTGTTTGAATTTTGAAGACTCTAAAATACAGTTTTATTAGAAGACTTTCAAGAAAACTTATTTAACCAGTAGAATCATTTTACCACTCTGTTAACTCTCCAACAAAATGGTCGGGAGAATTATTAGTGTTCATACCAACAATAACTTGGACTAACAACATTCCATCCCTTACACTGATACATGTGAACAACTAAGGGTATGAATTTGTTTGCGAAGTATAGAAACCTCAAACAGGGAAAACCCTAAAAATACCAGACAGTTTCTGCAAATTTGGCATTTGGGTCAGTCAACAACCGACAGTCTCATGGAAATAAATCCTATTTCTCGATCTGTAAAATAATAGATGAGCAATCACGAGGTAAAAATGAGACAGAAGGACAATAGGTGGGAAAATGTGAGCGATGAATACAGGACAATCAAAGATGCAAGCCAACTGTAAATCATTTCTTCAAGATGGGTTTGTAAATAACTGACGCAGAAATCCTGAAATAGTACCTCTTATTGAAGTCGCAAAAAGAATGAAATTATATCATTTCAAACATCCAGCTCACAGAGCTTAGTGTCAAGAAAGTAATCTGCTTGAGTCGCAAGTATATTCCACCAGGTAAAAGCAACTTAACTGATTAAAGGCTGACTGATAATACTTTAATTCTCATCCTGGCCTTCAAAAAGCATCTAAAAAAGTACTGAAAACCATCACCAACAAATCTGACACAGTTCACTAGTTCGCACAATACGTTTTTAGTTCGCTGGATAACTACACAAATGACTACATAAATACTCATAAGACTATACATACAGACTACTCACTGAAGTGATGTATAGATTGGAAGCTGCTATCTTATCAAAGATCGAACAAAAACTCTGAATTCGCTACGAAGAAATGTTCATCATCATGAACTGAAAAGTGCCGACCAGTAGATAGGTTACAGTTACTGATGTCAAAGTCAAAGATGAAGTTGTAATTGAAAACCCTTTATTTAAAACGTTTTGAGCTGGACAGATTAAAAAATATCCAGACTCAGTTGTTTCTGAAACTTGTTAATATAGTTAAAATTTTGAATTCCAGTCATAATCATATAGCCAATGAAAACTAGCTATGATCAAACAAATATTGCCCGAAAGAAAAAGCTACATTGTAATACATAGATTGTGTAAAAAAATGGAGAAGACTACCTAATGACTGCCTTTAAAGAAGGGAACCTCAACTCAACAACAGATTTCCCTCAGATTCATACTGAGTCAAAACGTCCCTTCCAAAGTAATAAGAACCATCCGAATGTACGTTCAGATCATGTCAAAGATTTTAACCAGATTTTTGAAACATTTCTGAACCGCTGTTACTCCATTCGGTGATACATAGGCAAAAATACGCTATGGCAAAGAAAGACAGGCTCAGTATTGTTTGTTAATTCAATTAGCATAGCTGTTAAGAAGGTCATACTTTGTAGAGCGAAGGACTTCTTAACCAACTAGAAGCCAAGTGTTACGAAATATCTTCACTGATAACAGCTGTTAAAGACTGTTATGCACATGATTGCCTCAAAGGAAATATAGAAAATACAAGTAATGTTGGGAGATCTTAAGAGAATTCAATGTTACAGCGACATGGAAATTGGAAATACATAAGCAAACAATGAAGACATCATATTGGAAACGAGTAATTGAGTTCGTGGTTATTGGAACAGTATAATTAGATGGTAGTGCAGAAATTCTCATAGTCCAATTCCGTTGAGTTGAATACGAATTATTCTCTCCACAATGGCTAAGTGGCTTGGTGGATAACGCTTTGGCATTGGAGAGATGGGAACTGGGTTCATCTCTCAGTTAGAACAACGTCACCCATTGCGGCACATGTAAACTCAGCTAATGAGTCTCAGATGGGACGAAAAGCGCGTCCTTGATTCCTCTGAAAGTCACCCAGCAGACTATAACATAATGAGTACTACGTCAATATCAAGGAATCCATATAGGATCCCATATGCCAACAGAGTTTGACCCAATAAAGCAAAAGGAGATTACACGTATCAAACGACAAAACGTGTTTTTCAGTATCCACAACTAAAATGTTTCGTTCAAAGGATTCCGGAGGGTCGGAGTGAAATATTGCCTGCAGCGTAACGAAAAGTTAGGCAGCGATGAGCAAACATTACTTTAAAAACTCAAATTCTTCGTCACAAGGAACTTTGTAGTGTTTTTAAATAAAATGGCGTATTAGTCTACACGCTGATAAATTTATTACCATGAAACACTGCACTGCTGTGGCGTTTAGTAAATTATAACTTTTGGAAAATTCTTGACACATCCGATCCATTTCTAAGTATCATTCTTAAATATTTTTCTGAATCCCTAACATAATTTATTCTACAGGTTATTGTAGTGCACTCTGTTCCATGTTTCACACAGCAGAACTTCATGAATATCATTCCATCTTGGAAAGCCTATGTGGAGGGAAGTTACTTTATCATATATAATGCCATTCTGCTCGGTGAGACTTGATTAGCTATAGTAAAACCTAAATTCAGTATAGGTTGATGATAATTATTCTTTTAAAATTATTTTTGGAATAATTACATAGAATGTTTAATGAACGATTTATCTGATCTTCCAATAAAGTGTTAACATCTTCAACAGAATTTCATTTTATTAGTAATACTTACCTGCAGTACGGTTTCCCATCTATCATATAGCATTGTCCTTTGTCACAATAGCCAATACAAGGATGTACTGTGAAAAATAAACGAAGTTAGAACATTAAAAAACATTTTTTTAAGTGAATGCTTCATATTTTGTATCTAAGTTTTGCTTTTTATAAATGCAGATATTGCATTCATTTAGATACATCCGTTTTCTTTCAACAGATAACTGAATATTGATGAACGTACACTGATGTACATGTAAATGAATATAAACTGGAATTCTCCAAATTTGTACTGAACGCCAGTCACTAATAAATGGTGAGGATTAATGGTAAAATATAAGCTTATACACCTCGATTTGTTCATTTATCAATTATAAGCTTGTAATAAAGTAAATTTAAGTGAAACAATGAAAGGGAAAGCCAGTTTCCTTTACACTGCATCTTTGAACTGACATACGGTATTTTACTTTACAATGTACCATACATAGTGTGCGTGAGTCATCGAAACTGCCGTATGTAATGCACAAATGAGAATTAATCTTTACATGTTTAAATAGGTAATACATTTTGCTAAGAAGTCACTTTATTTACTTATTTTTATCCCTTGTGAAACGTTTGGCAAGTAGTGATGAATTCTGCTTTACAAGGTAGCTAACGTTTGATTTTTGAGAATACTACTTGAAAAATCTGTAACTATTCTGTAGGTAGGGTGTGAACTGCAGTATTTAAAATCCATGTTGCTGTGATTTGTGTACCAGCCAACAGATATTTAAAGACCTCTTCGAATTTTAGTGAACACTAATAGTCAGAGTTATCTACTTAAGATTTGACAATATTTACCTATAAATGACATTATGAATTGGTCATGTAATGTTACTAGTTAACTTAAAAGCTGAATGCTGATCTGTTTAGTCCAAAACTACTGGGCAACATCTCTGTACTCATGACGCTATTTCACATTGTTAGGGTTTGGTAGACTGGCATTACTGGTACAGATTAATGAATTGATACGAATAAAAATTTGAGTTCCAGCAGGGTTCTGGATCACTGACACTGCTAAGAAGAATGACTACTTATCAGAAATTGTATCTGAACTTACAAAAACTCAGTCGCTGCTATTCAGGCCATTGAAAAGAAACAGTGAATTTCCAAAGAAATTACAGGATAGCTCCGCACACTTTCACGGTGAATAGCTAACTGTTAGAGTCTTTGGATCAATATGCGTAGATGAATATGCATTTGGTTCTGAACTATTATCTTCTTCAGTTTGCTCTTTTTCAGTTTCTTGACGGCAGCAATAGAAGGTGAAAGCAAGCGTAAGGAATCGGTTCCTCACCTTATTACTTGGTTGTTTAGTCCTTAATCATATTGCATTAGTCTGATTCGAGTAATATGAACCATGCTCCATTTCATTTTAACACATATGATTTTTGAGTTTAAACAGTCCGGATAAACTTACAGAGTTAAAAGTATTTTATATGTTGTGGTTCCTAATGGTTAAATGTCTAAAGTTTTATCCTGAGCGTTCAACTGTAGTCTGCAATGTTTAGTAGAAGCAAGTATCAGTCATTCCCTGCATTGTTCATCAAAAAATGTTTGAACTCTTATATAATAGTACAATAATGTTCGGTATCCAGATGTTGTTAAGCTGTTGGGTTGATCACTTACGATATCCCTATACCAAAAATAAGGATCAAGGGAAACAAAAAGTTATAAAGTTTACCTTCATTGTGTTAATTATTTAGTCAACAATTATTTATCAACCACAAAACTGTCAATCAAAACGATGGCCTTTTAAAAAGGTACACTATGAAAAGAATCAGCTAAATTTTGTTTTTCCGCAGTTTGTGCTATCATTTTATGCTCGTAAACACATTTTAGGATCGATTGCGTGAAAATATTTTCAGTCCTAATAGTATCGACCGATAGGGGGACCAGCTATTAAGTTCGCAAATTTGCTTAAAAGGGAGATAATTGTGCTGAAAAGATGACCTTTCATTAAATAAATTCCTCCATTTCAACCTACGATCTTAGGGCGTTTCAATGGTTATCGTCGGGAACCGACCACTGTGGCAAAAATAAGATTTGACTCGTAGTGAAGAGGTACAACTCAAAAGCGAAAAATCTTTTTTGATTAAAGGTATCCTGACCAACAATGGACCGGATAGTTTCAAAAACCTTGGACACTGAGTTAGTATCTTTCATCGTATAAGGTGTATTTTTACTTGTACAATCCTGTCATAGTATATTAGGACAAATAACGAAGCAAACAAATATTTTGTATTATTCATCAACGTTTCGAACTTGCTTGGAAGATCCTTTTCAAGCGTATGAATCTGACATTAAGTTTTCAGGTTGATATTCAAGTTTTGGTACGGAAGGTGATCATCCAGTTACATCATGATATGGAGCAAAGACCAATGTAATACAAGTGAGTGAATAAGCAAATCGGTCACAGAGGTTTTTTTCCAGTTGTGCGAGTAAAGTAGAACAAAAATAGAGTGGGGAAATTTAGTTTGACTGAAAAGTACAATGGTTAAAGTACAGAGGCCACCACCTTCTGTACTAACACTTGAATATCAACCTGAAAAATTAGTGTCAGATCAATACTCTTGGAAAGGATCTTCCTAGCAAGATCAAAAAGTTGAGGAATAATACAAAATATTTGTTTATTTTCTGTTTTTTCGTGATGAATACTACCTTTATTTTGTTATTTGTTCTAATATACTACGCCAGGATTATACAAGCAAAATTACACCTTATACGATTAATTTCTGGATTGATTAACCTTGCAGTTAACATTATGATGGTAATGACCACTTGTATCCACAACTTTGATTAAACTGACATGTTACTGCAGTGTATTTGACTGACTTAGACTATGTGGACGACAGCGTTCTGTTAGATGACGATAATGACAAAACGCAGTCTTCTAAACACCTTGAACAAAAACCTTAGTATTTCTAGAATATGTTTTATACCTATCGAATGTAGCTTTATGTTTCAGCGCAAATCTACACTGACTCCTAGTTTGATGATAGGGAAATTATGGTGTAAGTCGGTCTTCTCACTTCGTTCAGTAGCTGTGTCAGCCACGGTAATTTTGTTAGTTGCAAAATTACGCAGTAAAAATAATCTATGAAATCTGCGACTTTTTTTGTGAATCGTGTGTCTGGTGTCTGGCTGTCTTTTAAGTTTTTAGGAACCAATGGTATATGTCTCTTGAAGAAATGACTGAAGATTAGTTACAACGATCTATGTTTATGCACTGTTTACTATGGAAATTCTATAAGCCTTCATCGAGCTTCGTTTATCTTCTGTTTCTCTACTGAAACACTTTTATTTGCAGAACATTCTATCTTTTCTTCCCTCCTTTTTGGGTTGATATGAAAGGTTACATATCGAACTGATGCAATTTTTGCAAAGGTTTTCACCAATGTCTATTGATTATGTACAAACTTTAAGTTGATATTTTTGTTAAGGACTACAGTGAAGACACCGTGAAATTGTACACCTCACAGAAGGTGGGACAACACTGAAAAAGTCCCTCTAAGCTACAAAAAATCTAACCAGTTTCAAAATTCTGTACACACTAGACGCTTATATTAGAAATTTGAGAATAATGTGGATGTTTTTGATAGTCCACGTTCTAAAACAGTATTTTTTAAACAGACATTCCTATTTTTGGTATTGACAGTTCAAATTGTATTATATAAATGTTAGTCTAATTTCTTCAGATTAAAATCACCTCAGGTTCTAATCATACCAATGACCTGAAATTTAAATACTTCTGTTGGTCACTATACTATGTAGTAAGATTTTGAACAGCTGTGTTTTCCTTTTAATGAATCTGAAATTATCTTTGTCTTAGAAATTTCAGAAAGTGGTATTGACACCGTTTTCTTATCGAAATGCGAGAAATTTTTTTATCTGAAGTAAGCACAACATTTTTTTCCCGCTGAACTTTATGTCAGAAAACATTATTTTCCATCTCTACATGCAGGAATCAAAGACTTATTTAATTGTTGCAGAAAACCTATTTCCTGTTGAGTAATTTTACCATTTAGTTCTTAAATGAATATAACGCTGGTTTCGTTATAAAATGAAGATAATAGGTCTTTTTATCAGCCTGTAATTTCAAGTGGTAATTTCACAACAGCTTTCCAAGAAACCAGTGAATTGAAATGAGAAGTCAAAAGGCTATGCATACTCACAGTCTGCATGAAAGGATGTGATAGAAACATAACTGACTTGAAAGCCAAGTTCTTTTGAATAGCTAAATCTGGTTTTACACGTGTATGCATATGATTATGTTTCATTGTCTCACGTTTTATGGCTTAGATCGTTACAAATTCAGTAGAGAAAAGTAGAGACGTAAAATTCTATTGCTGACATCGTTATCACAAACGTTAAGAATACTCCGTCAGACAACTTATTCCTCATCATTTTTCCATTAAAGCCTCTTGATCCATGTACTTTATTTGATCCTAGTGGTTTTTGACTTTAGAATTTGCAGAGAGAGAGATTTTTGGAGTCCAAAGGAAGAACTGCACTTTCTTCACATAAACCAATCACAACCCGGATGGGTCTGGTTTCTGAAGAGCAGGAAGTGCTGTGATAATGAAAGCCGCCCTTTCTCGATTCGAGTCCATTTGAAAACATGATTAATCACTGGGATGTAATGCATTCACCCAAAATGTCTCAAGTAGGAGAAATTCGCGTTCTTGAATTCTTTTGCTTGGCATCAAATACACAAAATGTATCATCCAAATCGTTATATAAAGTATTGGTGAAGAATAATTATAAATTTTCACAAAAGTTGGAAAAAAAGTATCAAAATGTTCAAATTACTGATCAAAATGATTAAAAGAAATTTCCTATGTGTAGTAATAGTGGAAAAAATGGCAGGAGAAAGTGAAACCAAAACACACCAAAGAAATATCAACCTGGTTAAAATTATCAAACATCAACTCCTTAGTGCTTATTTATAGTCCAGTTGAATAGAGAAGCCACTTTTATAAAAAGTGACTGAACTACGGTTTAAAATAATCTTCTATAATTTCACAGGTATTACTTCAGACTAACA